ATACACGGGGGGGGGTGGTGGGGCTCATACAGAGATTATTTACTGAATATATACAGCTTATTATTTACGATGATGTGTTTTCACATTCTTAAATGGCCTGTGGTCCCAATTTGTGTAATTGGCATTCATCCAGGAGACCAAAGGCGAGCCGTGTCATCATCCCAGCCGGCCAATCAGGAGCCAGAGAGCGGCGAGGGGGCGGAGCTGGCGCGGAGCAGGCAGCGCAATTAAACAGAGGGGAGCGCAATTTAAACCCAAAAGCTGTGTGGACAGGAAACACACACTGCCCGACACACTTGACACACACACTCTGTCTCAGCGGGTGAGTGAGGGAGAAGTGTCCGGTGCTGTGAGATCGGTGTCCGGTGAAGTTGAAGTGGAGCAGGACGCTCTCCAAAGTGCGCACGGTGCGTCAGCGGAGCGGCGGAGCGACGCAACCCGGAGCTGTGTGCCGGTTCTGGGGGATCTCTTTTTATTTTTGTGGGAAAACTAAAAAAGGAAGAAGAAGACAAGTTGAGTTTTTCTCATAGTTTCCTCTTCCTGACTGTGTTCCCGCCGCTGCACCGATGGAATGGTTTTGTTTAATCGGATTATCGCTCCTCTAAAGTCCGGCTCCCTCACAGAGGCGGTGACAGCCGCGGCTCCACCGGGGCTCTGTCGTCCCTCCGCAGCCGCCCACAGCGCTTCTTCTCCGGTCTCCTCCGAGCTGCAGCGGTCGTTCATATGAGCGCAGCGTTCAGTCCGTCCTTCATGGTGATGCAGCGGCCACTCGGAAGCACCACCGCCTTCAGCATTGACTCTCTGATCGGGGGGCCCCCGCAGCCCAGCCCGGGACACTTTGTCTACACTGGCTACCCGATGTTCATGCCCTACCGGTCGGTGGTGCTCCAGCCGCCGCCCCCGCCGCCCCCGGCCCTGCAGCAGGCTCTCCCCGCCGGCCACCACCCGCACCCGCAGATCTCCAGCCTGCAGGGCGGCTTCTGCTCCAGCCTGGCGCAGGGCCTGACGCAGGGCATGGCGCTCACCTCCACGCTCATGGCGTCGCTGCCCGGCGGATTCTCCCCGTCCCAGCAGCACCAGGAGGCGGCCCGGAAGTTCGGCTCGCAGGCGCTGCACGCGGTCTTCGACAAAGCCCAGGAGCTGCGTCTGGACGCGGAGGACGGGAAGAGCTTCCTGCAGGGCAAAGAGTCCGCGGGGCTGCAGGCTTTCCACGACACGGACACGTCGGTGCAAACGTCCACAGGTAGGCGGGTTGACCTTCTTGTTTGACCTGAAACAGGCCCTCAAAGTCCGGGCTCAGTACGGCGGGACCAACCGGAGCCGCAGAACCTGAAACTCTAAGACACAGAGGACAGTTTGATTCTGCAGCACATTTTAGTTCTGAGGGAAATGTCTCCAACACATTTGAAATGTCTTTAAAAATGTCTTTAATTCACATTTGACATTTTGTCCGAGCTGTAAAAACAGCTCCACATATTCAGGATGTTTTATTAGAAGAAACGAGAGAAAATAAATCTGCAACCGACAATAACAGTGAATCTTACTGCAGCTCTAGTTCAGGTCGATCTGAAGGTTTATTAATAATAATAAATATACTTTATGATGTTTTTAAAAACGCTTTAACCAAAAACTCTCTTATTAAATGCGGATTCATTTTGTGACCAAGAAAGAAATAAAAACAGTAAAATCAGAGAAACAGATTCATTCTATTAATATTAATATTTCTGTCTGAGCTTTTAATAATCGATCATTCTGTTTGAGGCCTCAGTGGATCAATAAAGTCGTGGAAATGTTTCAGATTATTGGAGAATGAAGAATTTAATCTCTAATATTTGGATTATTTATGTAACAGTTGTGTGACCCGCGCGCAGTAAATCATTAACTTATTGCTTCCTGATAGAAAACAGACGCGTCTGTTTCCGGATTCTGTCGCTTCTGATTCAATCTGTCAGCAGCAGTTTCCGTTTCACACGCGGACAAACACGGTGTGAGCGGCGGGAGAAAGGGCCGCGCGGAGACGCTCCGTGCGTAATTACGCGTGAAGAATAAAAAGTCCCTGCAGAGCGCGTGCTTCCCGCCGGTGATCCACTCTGATCCAAACACTGATCAGATGATGGATATTGACACGGGACAGGACAGGACCCCCCCCCCCCCAAACTACAGGATTTCAAAACGTGACTTTCTATTTGAACTTTAATTTATAATTAATAATTAAGATCATTAACTCCATTTGATGGGATGTTTTCTCTCCATCTTCTGGGTTTTCGGGTCATAAATACTGATTTTAAGTCGCCTCTCTTTAATCTTTAGACTTAAATAAAGAAGATATTGTTGACATTCATTATTAGATTAAAAGATTTAAGGTTTCTTTGGAATCAGACAGAAAATAAATGTTGTAATCAGGAAAAACTAAAACAGTTTTCTTTTTGGGAAGATTTGATGAACTTTGTGTGTTTGTGTATTTTTCTGTGCCCATAAAGTTTTGGTGATGAAGATGTTCTCCTCTTCCTCCCAGGCAGAGCACACAGTAAAGAAGACCCGAAGGAGGACGAGTGCGGCCGAAAGGACGAGAGTTTCTCCATGGACAGCGACCTGGACTACAGCTCGGACGACAACCTCACCTCCATGTGCCACAAGGAGGACGGGGACGGCGGCGGAGGTCTGGACGACGGCCCGCACATGCACGGCTCCACCGGCGGCGGCTCCGGGGCGGGCGGCGGGGCGGGCGGCGGC